AATAAAATGTCTACCAACAAATAACATCTTTGATCGACAATTTTCACATATATTGCTAAAACATTGCTAATAATAATATTGTATAACACTACAATTATTATTTGCCGTTTCTTGTAGCAAAGAAATTGCCAAGAATTAATTCTTCGATCCAGTCCATATTACCACACTCCATCACTTGTTTCATATTTTCAGTGTCTCGTATCTTTGTCCAATTCTCTATTGCAAATTCCAAGCCTGCTATTCGTAACCTGTCGTCTTGAAACCTCCATCCCAACATTAATATTTGATCCCAATTACCACTATTTATCAATCCAACCATCCTTTCTGCTGCCATTGATCCAAGCTGTGAAATGTTTAACATGTCTGCTTTAGAATAAATCTCTCTCAACAGCTCAAACGTTAAGCCATCCTCAAGTTTATTCGTGTAAAGATGATGAACTATCAACCTGAACGCTTCGTATGGCATATCTCTAATAGCAATCGTTTTCATGTGACCTTCCTTCCATTCTCCTCCCAACAAATTCTCAAAATATGCAGATCTCGCTGCCAATATCACACGATGTGCCTTCATCACTGATCCACAATCGAACACAAACTCTATATCATAAAATTTTTCCTCTTCAAAATACTTTTCAAATGGTCCCAGTGAAAGATCAAATATGTTCGCAATCGAACTTGTTCCCTCACCAGTTGGAAGATCATTGAATATTTGCACCCTGACTAGTAAATCCATTTCCGGATATAAATTTTCATTTGTAATTGGGAACAAATCTTTTAATGCAATAATTCTTGCAAATCCATAATCTGAATTCGAACCATTAAATTCAAACTTTGTTTCTAATGTATGTCGACTAATCACTAGCAATGGATTTTGTTGTTGTTGTAGTTGTTGTTGTTGTTGTTGCAGTAAATGGTATGATTGCATCTGTTTATACTGAAATTGTTGCAATGACAACTGTTGTTGCTGCTGCGATTGTTGTGGATTATTATTGTTATTGGGATCAATGCGAAAAAGTGACAATCTGAATTTTTTTTGTCTACATCCTATACCATTTACCTTCTCATATTGTGTATGAATAGCTTCAAGATAAAGCGACAAATGATCATTAGACTTTTTATCTACCCCATTAGGAAACATTTTTAACCTCCATAAATAACAGGTATTATTATGATTATTGGTTTGTCCACATAAAATATTATTCTCATTAAATGCCATAGTTGTATTTGTTGTTGATACAATTGCTGTTGAAGGCGATGAAGATAACGAAGTTTTACCTGGTTGTCCTCTTGGAGACCAAAACCTCTCACTATAAAAAAATGTTTCATTTGGATGTCTTGCTGCTAATTCATTAAAACAGTTGATTCTCCAAGAAAATGAAAAAAAATTGTCAGTAGACGACATTTTATTTATTTTAAAAAAGTT